TGGCACAACTGCCCTTCAGATCAAATTATCCTGCTGGAAGTCGATTTTTTCCACACTGGCAGCGTAACTCAAGGGATAGAAAGGAAAGATTTCTCCACGACTGTTGGATGGATCGCCATGAACCTTTACAGATACTCGTTGTGCCCAGATGACGGGGATCTATCGACTTTCATCTAGCTGCAGGAAAGGATCAAAAGTTGTTCTTCTCCAGTGGAAACTTTTAAAATCTACACAACGGATCGAAACAATATTCATGTTCATGGTTCCCAGATAATCATCCCCCGTCTTTTCCTCTAGCGCCGTCACTGTGTTCAGGTTTGTAGTGAAATGTCTTGATCAATATTGGATGGATGGCCTTGAAATTCACGGATCGAGGGCAATGACCACCTAACGGGTCAAAGTTTGTTCAAACACTTTGTTTTATGACATAATACTTTGGCAAAACCAATGGAATCCTTATCTGCTGTCAGAGCCCTGCTGGCGCTCTGCCACAAAACCACAGCGAGAACCAACAGTCAACATTGCGTTCCTATTTTCGGCATCTCATCTCCAACAATAGTCAACATTAGTTACTAACTACTTAACTACTTAATTCCAACATCAAGTGTTGAACAATAATGTAAGAGTAAACCAATGAAAAATGAATCCTGGGGGGAAATAAGTGTTTCCTGCATCAGTAGAATCTACCTTAAAGCCAGCTGATGATGAGCGCAGGAGATGAAATCCACCTCCACAGAATGATGAACCTCATGCATGAATTTAAATGGACCAATACACATCGATGGTGTAACAGACGGCGCTAGCAGATCATTCCCAGGTTTCAGGAACAGGCCACATTGCATACAAATATGTGTGATTAAAAGGTTGGAAAGTCGGCCGCGCGCATATATGAACCAACAAAGCCTGTAAACAAGTCCGTTTACAGGCTCTGTGAATTGCTATAATGAAAGTCTTTTCCCTGCAGGCTCCACGCGTGCCAATGGAACCGTTTAATTGTGACTGCGTCGACCCGCCATCATTCAGGCCAGATGCACTTTTAAGTGGAGATGCGTGTCCACAGTGGGGGAAACAATCATCGTTTCTCTCTGTCGGTGTCTCTCTCTCCTCTCCCTTCACCCCCCCACCCACCCACCATCCCTCTCTTCTTCTTAAGTTATTCCTTTCTACAATTTGTCATGCTGCAACGACAGGCTGAGGCAACGAGGCACTATGCTGGTGCCTGTGAGCCGAGCTGAGATGAAGCCGAGCTGACAAGTGGGTTCATCTGCATCACAGTGTCCTTCCAAAAAAACAGCCTCAGGAAGGGAAGGAAGGCAAAGCATGTTCCTCCTGAGGTGCCCCCCCCCCCCCCCCGTTGTATTTCACCTTGTGGCTTCCCACGGGAGCAGCTGCTGGCTTTTGACTCCCCCTCTGATAGAGCTGCAGATCCATGTTGCATAAAACAAAGTATTCACGCCGAGACGAGAAGTTAAACGAGAAAAAAGACAAAACATGCCGCCGTGTGCTGTTGATTTGAGAAGCTTGAGGCGTTTATTTTTCCAACATTACATTTAAGTGGGTGAGCAGAGTGGAAGTTACTGAGCTGCTGCATATTCATCTTAGAAAAAACATAATCCTGCATTTGACACACATGCAGGTGTGCGAGAGGGAGGCTTTGTGAGAGCGCCGCTCACTCTCTGCTGGATAAAACCAAGCGCTTCTCCTTCTCGTCTTTGCTCATCCCTCAACGCCCATCCCCCTCCTCGACAGAGGACGGCCCCGGTAAAATATTTAGGCGTACTCCCCCTCTATTTTTGTAGCATCACTGCTTAGCTTTTTCTCTCTCTTTTTTTTTTTGCATTTTCTGGGGCTCACCAATATTTGGTGGTTCTGATATAGAATTACAAAGGATACAAACAGAGGTATTTAGATTATGTGTGTTGTAATTAATGGTTGATTCTGCATATAGCCCAGTGGGTATGCATACATATTGCCGAAGCTGAATCTATGCAGCATTGGGAAATATGAATGGGACGAAATGATGCATCGCGTCACTGGGTCAGTGAGGTATCGGCCCCGTCACGTTCCCCTCAGTGACGCGAGCCGCTTCCGATCCGCTAGATCGAACAAATAAATCCCTGAAGAGTTCATGAAGATGAGATTTCTATTGTAAAAGACGTCGTTCAGCTTTATGTCTCCATTCATCACCTCTGATATGATTAATCATTTCTGAGGAAATTTGAAGCTTCCCTGGTCGGGATCCATGATGAGGAGTTTGCTGACACCTGCTGCTCGAAGCATAAAGTAACGGCAACATATTTCTTATGTTGTAAATATACGCATGTCCTACTTCAGGATATTATTACATTATTATTATTATTACATGTCATTTAGCTGACGCTTTTATCCAAAGCGACGTACAATAAGTGCATTCAACCATAGGGTACAAACTCAGGAGAACAAGAAACAAGAAAGTGCAATTTCCTCAAATAAGCGAATTTACAATTTGCTATAGATGAGTGACGTCACAAGTACAGTTTAAGTGCTACAATTTGTTAGTCTTTAGTCGAGGTAGAGTCTGAAGAGGTGTGTCTTTAGTTTGCGGCGGAAGATGTGAAGGCTCTCTGCGGTCCTGATGTCTTCAGAGAGCGCGTTCCACCATTTCGGCGCAAGGACAGCGAAGAGTCGAGACCTAGTCGAGTGTTTTGCTCTCAGTGGGGGAGGGACGAGTAGTTTTGCAGATGCAGAGCGGAGAGTGCGGGTAGGGATGTAGGGTTTGACCATGTCCTGGATGTAAGCTGGACCCGATCCATTCACAGCATGGTACGTGAGCACCAGTGTTTTGAACTGGATGCGGGCGGCCACCGGTAGCCAGTGAAGAGAGCGGAGGAGTGGAGTAGTGTGGGAGAATTTCGGAAGGTTGAAGACCAGTCGAGCTGCTGCATTCTGAATGAGCTGCAGAGGTCGAATGGCGGTGGCAGGGAGACCTGCCAGGAGGGAGTTGCAGTAGTCCAGGCGGGAGATGACAAGAGCCTGAATCAGTACCTGCGCTGCCTTCTGAGTGAGAAGGGGACGTATTCTCCTGATGTTGTAGAGCGTGTATCTACAGGATCGCGTTGTCGCAGTGATGTTGGGAGTCAGGGAGAGTTGGTTGTCGAGTGTGACGCCGAGGTTCTTAGCAGTCGAAGTGGGCGTTAGCACAGAGTTTCCAAAGTTGACTGTCAGGTCCTGGGTAAGCGAGTCTTTTCCGGGAAAGAGAAGTAGTTCAGTCTTGTCGGGGTTGATTTTCAGATGGTGGGCGGACATCCACTGAGAGATGTCAGTTAGACAGGCAGAGATCCGAGCCGCCACCTGGGTGTCCGAGTGAGGGAAGGAGAGAATTAGTTGGGTGTCATCGGCATAGCTGTGGTAAGAGAAGCCATGCGAGCGAATGACAGCGCCAAGAGAGTTGGTGTAAAGCGAAAACAGGAGGGGACCGAGCACGGAACCCTGAGGAACTCCAGTAGTAAGAGGACAAGGTTCCGACACAGATCCTCGCCAGGTTACCCGGTAGGTGCGGCCATCGAGGTAGGACGAGAGAAGGGAGAGAGCAGAGCCTGTGACACCAAGTTCCTGAAGGGAGGAAATAAGGATCTGGTGGTTGACCGTGTCAAATGCAGCAGAGAGGTCCAGAAGGATGAGGACAGAGGAGAGAGAGGCGGCTCTAGCAGTGTGGAGTTGCTCAGAGACAGCAAGGAGAGCAGTCTCTGTAGAGTGGCCTGCCTTGAAACCTGACTGGTGGGGGTCAAGGAGGTTGTTACAGTGGAGATAAGAGGAGAGTTGATTAAAGATAGCACGTTCAAGGGTTTTGGACAAGAAGGGAAGAAGAGAGACCGGTCTGTAGTTGTTTTCTTCAGAAGGGTTGAGGGTGGGTTTCTTCAGGAGAGGGTTGACTCTTGCCTCCTTCAGAGAATTGGGAAAACAGCCAGATGACAGAGCGTTGTTGATGAGAAAGGTAAGGAACGGAAGAAGGTCAGGTGCGATAGATTGTAGAAGATGTGATGGAATGGGGTCAAGAGGGCAGGTGGTCGGACGGGCAGAGGTTACTAGGGTAAGAATTTGGTTAGGAGAGAGGGCGGTGAAAGAGAGAAGTGAGGGCGAAAGAGGTGAGCTCGGTGGGACGCGAGAAGTAGGTGGTGGGTTTGAGAAGGAGGAGCGTATGTCAGCTATTTTCTTGGTGAAGTAGTTGACAAAGTCTCCCGGAAGAAGGGTGGAGGGGGGAGGAGGGGTAGGGGGTTCGAGGAGATTGGAGAAGATCGAGAAGAGTTTTTTGGGGTTAGAGAATGAGGATTCGATTTTGGACTGGTAGAAAGAGCTTTTGGCAGCAGAGATAGAGGCAGAGAATGAGGAGAGGAGAGATTGAAATTCAAGCAGGTCGTCAGGTCGTTTGTATTTACGCCATCTCCTTTCCGACGCTCGCATGGTGGCTCTCATGGCACGGACCGGTTGAGACAGCCACGGAGCCGGAGGGGATTTGCCAGTCCGTCGTGTCGTAAGAGGGCAGAGAGAGTCTAGAGAGGAGGAAAGAGTTGAGAGGAGAGTCTCTGCAGCAGCGTTCGGATGCAAGAGTGAGAAGGAGTCAGTTGAAGGGAGAGCTGATAGAACAGAGGATGCCAGCGAGGAGGGAGAGAGGGAGCGAATATTGCGACGAGCCGGTATAGAGTTAGTCAATGAGGGAGGTTTGTTAGTTATAGAGAGTGGAAGGGAGTAAGAGATGAAGAAGTGATCAGACACATGAAGTGGAGTTACAGAGAGGTTAGTGGTAGAGCAGTTTCTAGTAAAGATGTAGTCAAGGTGATTGCCGGCTTTGTGAGTAGGAGGAGAGGGAGTGAGTGACAGAGCGAAGGAAGAAAGTAGGTGTACGAGGTCAGATGACTTCTCTGTCTGGATGTTGAAGTCATATCTGAAGGATATCTGTGAGCCGGTGCAATAGCTTTTCACAGTGGTTAAACTACAGTCAGTCATATTATGCATACACCCAATAGAGTAAAACATCTGACTACAGCAGGTATTTCTTGAGCATCTTCTTTCAAATAAAAAACAACAACAAAAAAAACCTGTTCCATCCATCCATAAAATTGAATAAAATTCTATACAAAGGGATTATGTGTATAAAAAAAAAAAAAACACAAGAAAGGCAGGTATTTAAAATGAGACGCAAGGCAAAGTGGCTTAAATGGTAAATGCCTGAGGTTTAAAAGATCTTTTCACAGGTACTTAAACTCCAAAATAAAAGCATCCAACGGGAAACATGATGGATCTGCGTGGACGGCAGCTCAAACTTCTTCTAACAGCGATTCAGACTATTCAGCAGGTGATAATTGGGACCAGACAAAACATTATATAATAAAATATGAATAACCCTTGGCTTTTTAGTGCAAACTAGGATGCCTTTAGACAGCAACTAAGACTCAACTAAGGCTTCATCCTGCATGATGTTGAGACGATGACTAAATTAAGGAGTACATTCATGGAGTACAAACCATCTCTCATGTGCAATTCAGCATGCAGTAATGGTACCTGGATTTACATAAACTCTTAAAAATTAAACAAGTGCCAGTGATGCCACTTACAATCACATGGTAAGCATCCTAAATCCCCTCCTATGCACCAATCACCAGTTATGACGCTCCGGTCATCCTAACAGTGTGACGCAGCCGTCTCCTCCTCTATGACATTCACTGAGGGCTCAGAACGGGTATTTTGCACCTCGGGGATACTCGCGTCACTCGGGTCCTCTGTGGCGACTTCAAGGCCTGCGAGGTCGTCCCCGGTCTCTCTGCTCAAAGAAGTGTTTGCGATCTGGTGGGTGACTTCCTTCTGCTCGGCCTCCCGGGGGTCAGATTCTTCTTCCCTCTCTGGGGATAAAGGTCTTTGGTCAAAGGATGATATATCTGTAAAAATACATGAACAAACAAGGGGTTAAAAGAAACGTTGGACCACAGGATATAGATCATATTCATGAATAAATCATTCACAAATTTGTGACAAAAGTATCACGTCACGCGACAAAAGTAGAAAATAGTTCATGAACTGATTCACTCAATGACCCCCAGGCGCCACAAGCCCGGCATTGAAAACATGGGATTGATCCATCCAGCTTCAAGTACTTACCCAAGCTGCACGGATCGCTGGAGTCATCTCCATAATCAGCAAACATGGAGCTCTGGCCCGTGTCGTTGGTGGAAACCGTGTCCGACACGTCTGGAGTCACCGCTTTGGATCCACTGGAAATATCTGCAAGTCACACATTTCATTCTGTGTGAAAAAAGACGTCAAAAGAAATCCGACAATTAAAACAAATGAATGATTCTTGAAACATTATTACCCAAGTCCACGGCCAGCTGAGTAGACGAGGGTGCACGCATGTCCTGCACGGCTCCTTCCATTGGATTCAAATCGATTTCACGGACAGCAGAGGGACGACCTGCAGCGCTGGGAGGCACCTGCTAAGAGAGAGCTTGTGTTTTAGACAAGGGGAAACACTATGTAACTTCCCAGGGACATTTAGGGAAGATTAAGTGGTTTACCTCAGCGTGGCCGCTTGCAACCAGCTCTTCACCGTCGTCTGTGCCGGTGGATTGAGGCGGAGCTGGACGCGTCGGGATTCTGTGCAAGTAGCCGTAGCCGATGCCGCAGCCCAAGCTAATGGTGCAAGACGAACGAAATAAAAAGGGGGGGTTAGTGTAAATGATGAGCGTGTCTTTACTACAGTTGACATGTTAAGAGGAGATCTCTGCCTACCTTCCCTCTCCTCCCCACGCTCCATTTGGTGTTACTACCACCTCTCTGCAGTGGTCAGTCTGAGTGTTGTACACAAGCAGCTTCAGAGGTTTCCCCTCATTGGCTTCAATCAAAGAAAAGAAATCCTCTGACTGCAACCGGGAGAAAAGGACAGCAAATTAAGATTTGGCATCATACTTGTTCATGAATGCGAGTATACTATTATATTTGAATGAATAATATGAAAATTGAAGAAAAACATACATCTTGCAACACCTGGTCAGCTCCTACGATGAAGTCATCGTGATCGATAAGGCCAGCCAATGCAGCAGGGGAATTAGCTTCCACGTCCTGAAAAAGGGATGATTATGCAGGCATTTATATTTAAAAATCACCATACGTGACCATAACACAGAGAATTTTTCCATGCAGCAGTAGTAAATTAGTAAGTACCAATCCTAGTGTAGTATACTGAGTGTAAGTATATCACTGTATCAATGGGTAGGATCCCCGGCGCCTGGTCTTTTCTCACAAAATTAATAAAAGAAAAAAGGTGCTAGCTGGGAAACTAACTTGTTTTAAGACCAGGTCAGTTAAACAAAGTAAGTTAAAGAATAACCCGTATTAGGCTGGACATGACTTACCAAAACATGCCAAACGTTCTCGTTGGCTCCTTCGAAGCTGCAGAAGCGGACGCTGGCGCCCAGCAGACCCTGACCCCCCCACATGTTACTGGGTATCACCTCCAGTTCCCTCACCCGCTGGCTTTTTGAGTTGAATACTTCAAGTTTGACTGCTTTCTCCACATTGGCTTTTAGAAGATAATTCAGCAAGTCACTTTCTTTATTCTGGAGAAACAAGAGAAATGTGTTTCATAAAACTGTAGCATCACTAGCCCTCCAACTAGTACGCAGCTGGGCCCGTCGTAGGATGCATGTAGGCCCATTGATTGTAAGTGCACATGCCAGACATCAATGTACATCATAGCATCACAGGAGTTCACTCACAAGTCGCGTGTTTCCGATGGAGAGAATAAAGTCAAAGAAAGGCTCCAGACCCGCCCTCCGAGCCGGCGACTCCTCTTGGAGCTGAAATATGATAGAAACACATGAAGGTTGGCCATGCATGTACAGCTGATTTGATAAGGGGTACCGTGTTAGAGTCCCCCCTCCCTCTCTGTTAATTATAGATATTGAATTGGCGAGAATTTGGGGAGAGAGTCAGTTTGTTACTCATGCAAAATGTCCGGTCACGCTTTGCAGTTTAGGATGTTTTATTTTGTGGTCTCAAACATACATTTCCTGCGTTTCCTTTGCTGTGTTAGAAACCATGTTCCTTTCTGGTGCATCTCCCCACTTGCACACATCTGCTACCTAAACGCCCCCCCACCATGACAAGAGCCTAGCGCACAGTGTCCCCTAGTGTCAACACAAACATACACAAATAATCTAAACTCATATGACAGCTCCACTGTTCCGTCCCCACGTGTGCAAAATGCAACACAATAACTACATTTCCATGGAGACACAAAAAAACGTTATATATCTGTCCTATATTTGAACTTGACTTCACTGTCCCACTTGAGTCGGAGACTCATTCCACTTGCATGTCCATCCCATTTTAATGTTTGGTTGTGCTCGACCAGTCACCAAACCATTGAATTCATAGCAGTGTCCATTCTCCTTAAAAATGAAGACCCATATGACCCACATGACCTATGACACATATTCCTCAATGGTCCCACCCATTCCCGTAGTTAGCTAGAGTGATTGACAGGCTCAACGGCTTCGTACCGCGAGACCTTCACTGACCTCAGTAAATGTGAACATCGTATTCTGGTCCTGAACGCGGAATCGCTCGGTCCGTGTCACTGTGGTAGCACCGGCATATGTAACCGTAGCTGACTCAGCTGAATAATGTATACTCCGGGTACTGGTGTCAGGTTCTAGGAGTGAGCCGCTCCTGAACAAATACAGTGTCTAGCAAAGCTAAACAACAGTCCGGGTGGGGAACAAACGCCACCTCGTCATGAGACACCGTTAAAGGTCTGACAAGTCGCGACACATCCGGATTAAGGTGACAATGCGGTGTTTCTTCATTGATAAATGCAGCGAGATTTGTCCAGGACTAATAAGCAAAGTAAAACGGCTAAACATGCCAACTGAGACATACCAAATTAGCTGTACGGTTAGAGACACACCCATGGAAAGGTTTTGGCTAACCTTGCGCTGCAATACGTACCCCGTGGACATGATATCCACTGTGAGTTCCCCCGTCCGACAAAAACGAGCTCTGCGGAAGCCCCATGGTCCTCAACAGATGTTGCTAATTAACGTAAATACAGTAACTGGCTTGATGTCACTGAGGTAAAGCACTGTTAAAAGTCATAACTGAAGGATATCACCGCGGATTCAAGCTAGCTAACGCCAACAGGGGACAGGTTGACAGCAGCCGACTCAGAGCCAGGCGAAGCGAATCAATAAGGATGTCAGAAAAATCGAGCCTGTACCGGGATAGACTGCCTACGATCATGATATCAAGCAGTCGGTGCTCGACTAGCCGTCCTTGCTTGAGTTGGCCATGTGGTTGCCTGGCAACAGAGTAAGCGATTGGAAAGTTTTATTCAGGACCAGTGGTTCTCAACTGGTCTGGCTCTGGGACGCACCATCACCCCTTAATGACAAGCCGCGACTCAAATCGAGGAACATTCTCAAATTTATTTAATGAAAATATGGTGCAGTTTGAACCTGAGATAGTATGGAGACAGAATACGTAAACAAGTTTAATGAAAAAACGAAACAGCCAGCTGTTAATTCTAATTTAATTCTAATTTTCCCAGGCAAAGGCCTGCGAACCATTAAAAACGGGTCCGCGACCCACCAGTTGAGAATCGCTGATTTAGAAGGTCCATAATACATTTGGATATTTAATAGAAAATCTACTTAAAATGGGTTTCGGGGGTTTAGCTTCACATATGACATGCCTAAAAAATGATTTAGCTAGCTTCATTGTACTATTATAATTAATAACGTCACTCTAATTGTGGAGCGTATTTTGCCATTTCATTGGTTGTGGATCAATTTGAACAGTTTTCTGTGGGAAAATGTTTGTTTGCTCCTCACGGGTGGTTTAGATCGTTTTGGCTGTGTGAAATGCATCTGCTCTTTTCCCACCACGATAAAATATATTAGGGCCTATTTTTCAAAGTGTTGTAAAGGTCAAAATGCACAACTCTAAAAACAAAAACAATTCCCTGTACATATAAATTTATGAACCTTTTTGTGACAATATGATAGTTAATTTTTAAAGTTAATTTCTTATTTAGTGGGTACCGTGTGGTGTGTGGGTGAGTATGACCTGTATACGTATGCCGACAGTGAGCAGTTCCCCCGTGTGGAAATGATTTCTGTCCATCTTGGCAGGACCGGAGACTTTGGCAAAGGGTCAAGTGAAAACTCGATAGCACGCTTTTTTTTTTGTTGACAGCAGTGGCCCAAGGGGATAGATTCATATTCACCACCTTCCCTCAACTATGATCACAGAGCTGCAGTGCTTTGCACAAGTAGAGGAACATAACACTGGTATATCCTCTACTCAAATGGTCAGTGATTCTTCACCAGTGGCAACTCATGGACCATTCGGATATCAATGCTTGTCTAGTTAAAATATGTATCAAACAGGAGGACCTCTGAGCTGCTTGAAATCAATTTACATGGGTCATACGTTTACATGCAGTAAATGCTTTCTTGTAGTCCTTAGTTTAACCAGAGGGTGGCGACAGTGGTTCATGTTTGGACTAAATGCCATGCTTACTATATCAAATAGTAACCTTTTTGCTTTCAACGATTGTGCAAATAGGGCCACGTGTAAAGGGCCACGGCTGCAGATTCACTGGGACAACAAAAGTAAGAGGAGATGTTCCTAACGATGTTTTGATGGGTGAGTGAGTAGAACCACTAAAAGAACTGGACCTACATTAGGTTTGGGCTTAAGTGGCAATAAAGCCTTTTTTAATGTACACACATCAAAGAAAACCTAAAAGAATTCCTTTATGATCTACCTAAAGTCTTAACAAGAACCACATGTTCTTAATGTTGGCCATTTTGAGTTACAGTCACTGGCGCGACATTTCCGTCTTGTCTGGGATTTCTGGCCATATGTTTGTGGAGATAGTTATGCAGGAGGTTACCGCATGACATCACACAGTGTTTTTTCTCTTAACCATGGAGACCAAAAGCCACAGATGAATTCCAGTGGTTTCTATAAAAAAAAAAATCCAAAAGAATGTGCTGCCTGTAATGCTATAGAAAATATACAGATTTTAGTAGGAAAGAACAGGAAACCACTGAACATGATTTCTCTTGGGAAGTCTCCTTAAAATATGCATAAGATAAATAAAAGAGAAACATTTGCTTATCCTCTAAACTGCACCATGGTTTCCCCGTAACAAATCAGCATATGACAAACAAAAGCATTTAGAAAATGTTTTTTTTATTATTATTATTTGGAGGGAGAGGCTGTCAAAATGGCTTAGATGAAAGACTGTTTTTTTTTCAACAGCAGGTTAAAGTGTGAATATGTCAAAAATAAAGCAGCTTTGTTTGCTCTGCAGGACCATTCAAGCAGAAATATGTACAACACAAAAGGCAAAAAGTAAGACACGTTCTCTGAAAATAAAATTTAAAAAAAGCTGTACTGTAATACATTACATTGATGAACACTCACTGTTACCATTTCTTCATGAAAGTTGATGTTTTATACAAGAGAAACAAACGTTTGCTTGCAAAAATCAGTGCCCTCTTCTTGGCGTAAGAACATATATACCGGATGGATTTAAAAAGTAATAAAAAAAAATAAAAAAAAGGCAAAAAGCGAATAATACATTTCCATCGTGCACTCTGCACCTTTTCAAAAGTATACAATTAATCAGAACAGGTTTTAACAAACAGGACCTGCATGCATAATTTCTAAAGGGTCCAGAAAGGCTGTTGAAACAGCTGTAGAAAGGGTGAGATATGTACATCAACTCTCTAGTGTCCTCAACTGTTCACGCTGCTGACAGATTCACCTTTGAAAGGTCTTGTTCTTTTAGGAATGAGGAAACGCTTCATTTTGTTAGGGTCTATGTGTGCAATAAAAATTGTATAATATATTCAGTTTTTATGCACAAGAACCCTTTACATGTGATATTTAGTACATATTGTAACTCAAGTCACAGACTTCCAAGCAATTCGGAATACAATCAAATTGATCTTTGCAATTTATTTAGTTTTAGTGGCATTTCTAAGATATCTAACCATAAGACTGCCTATTAAAAATACTTGCAGAATGCTAGAGCGATAACCTTCATAAGTATACTTTTCTCTATAATTCATATATTACAAAGGTCGTCCCAGATTGAAAATTACTAATTTTGCTTTAATAAAATATTCAATTTGTAAGTGATTAGAATTCTTTTTTTTTCAACCTACATAAATTAGTTACAAAATATTAGTGTATTTTTCTATGGTTACATTATAGGCAGCGATAAAATAGACCCATAATTTAGCTTCAGTGATTAGGGAGATTCCACAGTTCTCAGTCCCAAAGCTTAAATGGAAGCACTGTGCACACGCCATTGGCAGGCATGGCTCCCCTGATAAGCAGGCACATCCAGTAAACTTCACAACACCCAATTTTATTGCTAAAATGTCTTAAATTAAATAGCAAATGAAATTATGGTGTAATAAGTTATTTTAAAAAAAAAAGCTAAATGTAAAAGATAATAGATATTAAATACTTTCTGTTGGACTTGTGGTCCCAATTTCCATAGCACTGACTTAATATGAAATGGGTGAAAAAAGAAAAGTAAAGAAGATTGCACTTTTAGGTGACAATATCAAACCACAGTGCTTCTTGCGTGAAATTAGGCTTTTATCGGAAATAAATAGAATAAAATCATGAAAGAAATAACTTAAAACAAAAGAAACAAAGACAATACAAGCTACAGCTTTGAATGGTATGAGCGTTATTTCTAGTTACCTGGCTCATAAATATGAAACTCCATAATTTAGCGTTTAACTGTTGAATCGATCCCATACAACCACAACGATGCCTATTCATACATCACTATTTTCACAGATAAAGTGCTGATCGAGGAGCTTTTAGAGGGATCGAATTTTTGTACCATGTAAGACCCTTGGGAGAGATCTTGAGGAGAAAGAGTCCACTAGCTTCAGGATTCAGCACAGGGAGGACCCTATAGTCGAGTCATCTGGGCGGAAGCCCAAAAGGGGGAAAACACCAACAGGACTTTGTTGTGATTGGACTCAGGTTTCCTACGAAGGCCGTCACAGCAACGGTCACCATACATTGCCTCCAAAAGCTAGAAAGCTAGAAAAAGAAATTCCCTGAGGTGCACATTCAGCTGTGTTGAGATTCCCGACCGGGCCCCACTTAAGGTTGATTCCTGTTTAGCATATGGTTGCTGATCTTGGTTTGGTTAAAAGAGCTTTCTTAGGAACTGAGAGCCATCATTGGTTTCAATGGGCCTGGTCAAATTCATCTCCGTTTCGCATCTTTTCACTTTTAACACTGGCTGCCGTCTCACACAGCAATAATCCCAAACTGCTCCGCTAACGCTTGAAGGCCAGTCTGGAATTTGAACATTTAATAGGCAAGATGGAAATCACAGCTTCCTCCAAATACCACGTTGACATTGACTTTCTATGTGCATAATCGGTCCCATCCAAAACTCCCATCTTTCTTTTTCTTTTCTTTTTTTTTTACCCCCCTTGCACAGTCCACACATCTTCCCGTCGTGTCAAACTTTCACAGACTCCATCACAGACAATTTCATGGCTTCCTCCAACAGCTGATTGTCCGTAAACGTGGCAGGGGGTTCTGGAACGGATTCGGAGAGGCCAATCAGCGACTCCAGGAGGCAGGTCCCGGGGTCGCCCGCCGGAGGGAGGCTGGGGTAACTGGGAAACTGAAACTGGAAAAAGTTGTCCATGTGTTCGTACTCCTTGAGGGAGTTGTAGAGCGAGCTGGGCCCCAGGCAGGGGAAGCCGTCAAAGAACTCCAGGTCGGATTCCGAGGAGAGGCTCAGGTCCATGTTGTAGCTCGCCGAGCGGTCGACGGTCGGCGAGGGCGTGCGCGGCACGCCGCTGCCGTGGAACAGGCCGTTTCCCTGGTTGGCGTTCTCGTCTAAGAGTTCTGAGATTGTCGTGGCTCGATTGTCCGTGTGATCGTCCAATAGGGTGGCTTCTATATTGTCATTCTCGTCAGCAAAGTCCACCATGCTGAAGCTACTAAAAGCCTCCGTGCACGGCTGCTGCTGCTGCTGCTCTTTGCGGCTACTTCTCGAGCCGTTCCCCGCGTCGCTGAAACCCAAAATGCGGCTCAGGCCTTTCTCATCCACATCCAGCCGGGTGAGATGCTCACGCCGGGCCTCGCCTCCCTCGGAGTCGTCGCTGTGACCAGAAGAGTCCGATAAGTCCGTCATATCGCTGCTGCAGCTGTTCTCTCCGGGCGCCGCCAGTTCGGAACTAAAGGGGAAGGACGGCACCGCCGACAAGGCGGTTGGCTGCTGCTGCTGCTGCTTCTTCTTCTCCTCCTCCTCCTCCTCCGTGCTCGACTGCTCCTCCAGCCTCTTCTCCAGCTCCAGCTTCATGATGGTGTGGATGTAATGCGTCTGCACCCTGGTGGAGTTAAACTCAATGCGGCCTCCGGTGTTTCCGCAGCCGTCTTTGGTGCAGCCACAGGGGAACGAGGAATGATCCATCTGTTGGGGCGGGTAGAAGGGTGAAGTTAACTGTGACGTACGGACAACAAGTCTCGATAGCGTCGGGATCTGGAGCCGCTCGCTGTCACACGGCGGCGTGGCTGCCGTTCTTTCGGGCTTACCTGACATTTGATGCCGGCGAGGCTGCAGCTACACGTCTCGGGCTCGCAGAAGCCCTGGCAGTCGCAGCCGCAGTTCTCCCTGGAGATTCTCAGCTCGTGCAGTTGCCTCTTCTCCTCCTTGTCGATCTTCTTGACGCCGGCTGCTTTGAGCAGCGCGTAGCGCCGCTTCGGCGGGTAAGGCTGGAGGAAGTAGCCCTCGTCCAAATTGGCCCCGCCGATGTCAACGTCCTGCTCGGGGATGTCGTCCACCGTCAGGCGCTCCGCCTCCTCGTTCTCTTGGGTTCCGTTCTTGGTCAGCTGGAAAGGCATTTGAAAATGAGTCGTCGTTGCACGGAGGTTTGTGTATCGGCGTCGAGGCCGCTTCGCAGAGACGGTCTGACGCACTCGAGGGCGACTTTGCTCACCTTCAGCTTGAGAGCCTCCAGCTTTTCGTATCGGAGCCGGTTGAGGAACTTCTCCCTGCGCAGGAGCCGCTGCTCCACGGCGAACTCGGCCAGCGTGTACGAGCGGAGCGCGCTGTGCCGCTGCATCATGCCCAGGGTGCATCCCCCCCGGCTGGGAACACTGGTGAAGCCCTGGCACCGGGGGAAGAAGAACACCGTCACCTGGTCAAAGGTCACGTTCCCGCGCCGCGCTCGCTTGGCCTTCTTAAGGATGGATGTCGCTGTAGACGCAGAAAGAGAAGGTTTAGAATACATTTTTGTCCGTGAAGGAGGATGGCGTTCTAAACAATACAGTTGGGGAATGCTGTTCCGTGCCACTAGGTGGCACAGTGACGCGCCGCGTGAAGCCGTGGAAAACCTACTGAGCCGACTGTAAAAGGACACCCCACTGATTCATTGCCCTAACCTTAACCAAGCCTGATCATGTACTCAATTAAAAAGACACTGCCAACAGGAGTTCAACAGACTCACATCCTGTAAAGGGAAACCTAAACTAATAAGAAACCACTCAACCTCATTTCTCCGCGTCCTCGTGTGCGACAGACAGCACCCAGCCCTGGAATTTCCCAGTGGTGACAAGCACGGAGGAGGAAACCGGGGGCTGCCGGTATCACAAATGGGCGAGGAAATGCTCGGGGCTTCCGGAAGGGGCGGAAGGGTGGAAGGGGCGACAACAACTGCCCATCCTGGTCTCAGTGCGGGCAGAAACCGAGCAGTGAAAATGTCGTTGCTCTGTTAAAGCACTCAAAGCTACGCGGTATCTTTCCGCCCTCAGACAAATACTATACAACCGTACGGGAATCAAAGTGGAACCATGTGTGGGAACAGTTATTCCAGCTTGATTGTAAAATGCACTTCCTCTTGCCAAGGAATATTAAACATGACCTTTGATCACTATTTACTCCAGGGATTGTTGTTCATGAAGCAGAAAAGGATGCTAATGCGGACACATGTCGAGCATTACGCTTTGTGGTGGTGAATTCCTTGCACATTCCTGTTTTGTGAGCCACCTCTCTCTCTCTCTCTTCTAGGGACACACCCTGAACCATTGACCTCGAATGGAAAAAAAATATGTTTACTTGAAAAGCCACTCTTTTATCCCGATGCAGGTACAGACAACGGCCTACCTATTGCATCTGAACCTGCCGCTGGGGGCCGTACAGATGAAACCGACTGCCAGTTCCATTTCCCATCCATCAAATCCAGTCAGGCTTATAACACCAGCAGGAGACAAACGATACCCTCTCAGCCGCCTCTAAATGGGAGAGCTTTGCTGGCTGTTTTTCCCCCCCACTTTCACCTCACAATGGCGGGCTAACTTTCTGTCCGACACAAACACCGGATTATATGGGGGGGGTCGCACAATCTGTGTCTCTAAATGAGTCTGCATGCCTTCCTTTCTTGATTGTCCTACTCCTTCCCCCCCTGTATCCCTTCACCCAGCCTCTTTCAGCACCTGTGCTGGGTGCATGCCCGGGCTCCAGACAAGGCTCTGTGTGTTCCCAGCCTTGGCAACCTGCCACGCTCCCTCATCCACCCCCCTGCCCCGCCCCCCCAAACTGTTTGCCCTTTTTTCCAGTTCCGACCCAGGCCGGTCCCCTGAAGGCCGGCAGACTTAACCGGGGTCCAGACAGAAAACAACCCTGAAAGCTGCTCGACCGACACCTTTCGAGGAAAGGTGAGGCTCTGTCTGTCGATAAGGCTCCGCGAAGAAGCTGGAGAGAGAGAGAGAGAGCGAGAGAGAGCGAGTCGACGTGAACTGCAAAATGTAATTAGCCGTTTCGCCGCTTTAGGGCATGAAATCACGAGGGGCATTCATTGCAGATGTCGGAAATCATATCTGTGAGCAGTTTCATAGGCTGCTAGCAGCCTAAATTCCGCTTTTATGGGTTTGTTATCAGAGCCTCCGTGGAGCAGTAAAAAAAAAAACCAACAAAAAACAAGGCGAAAGAACGCATTAAAAAGCATGTTCCATCAGCTGGTTCATCGCCGTTAGAAGAGAACACTCACTGTTGAAATGTGTTGCCGGGGAGCTGGGGTTGCTGGGAGTGGAATCCAGGGTGTCCGAGTAGCAGCTCTCCCCCGCCGAGTCCCATCCTGAGCCGGCGGAGGAGAAGGAGGAGGGCGAGGAGTACCACGGGTCCTCATCCACCTCCTCAAACTTCCTCTTGAGCAGCCCACTCATGGCGTTAGCGCGAACAATCTGCAGGAAAGGGCGGAGGGAGGGGTCGTTAGCAGATTGTTCACACTTTTTCTAAAGACCCGTGTTGTTTCATGGAAGCTGTTGTACACACAGGCCATCTACAGCGTTACTGGTAGGAGTGGGTCCTGTGCTCCCAATCTCGTGCTGCACTCAGCTGAGAGTGGAAGTTAGCCACGGCACAGGAAGCAATCAATCAGGCCTGCTCGCATAAGGCAACAATTACTGGACCCTTTACCCTCTTCGAAATCCCATCAGCTCAGCAAATGCATTGATGCATTGATTAGAGAGAAGAACCAAGCACAGAGGTGACCAAATCATTCAGCCATAGACATTTGAATTTCAAATCATTCCCTTCATGCAGCACCATCAAAGACGAGGGCCAGAGCCGGGGCAAATTGCCACTTGTCCTGGATGACGCGTTTGCATGGCAGTCGTGGTAAATATGTACAGCTATGCATATCCACGGTGTTTTATTATGCAACTGCAGCGTGCAGAGCTCCCTTGAGAGGGCCCTGCTGGTTCAGCGATAAAAACAATCAATCCTTAGAGAGAAAGAAAAAGACGGGCAGACCGAGACAAGGGGAGGAAGATCATCACGAGGAGGGAAACCGCTGTTCACCCTTCTAATCTTCACAAACATTACAGCACTTACACCTGTAAAGCCTCTACCACGCGCAGGCCCCGTGAATATCTTTAGTTAAAAGCTTTCAGTGAATGAATAATGCCCTCGCAGCTCCGCCAAATCACATCAGCATTTTCCAGCAAAAAGACAGGAACCACAGACAAGAAAAACAAACGCGTCGAATGGGACGGGAGGTTTTTACTGCTGGTGTAGTTTACCGTTATGGGATATTAACACGTCACGCCGCTTTGACAAACAACAGACAACCTTCTGCACGTCTTCTGGGAAAAACGGCGCCGACGACTGCCAGGGAAGGCAGGTCATCGTCACAGCCCCCAGGGGGTGGGGGAGAGGGGGGGGAGGCCCGCTAGCTTAAACAAGGAGGGACAGAGGAGAAGGAAGTGAGAGGGCCAGGAAGGCGAGACACTCCCTGTAATAACGTGGAATGGAAGCGGAAAGGCGGCTGCTACTTTGAAGAGATCATTTCACCATCAGACGCTGAACCGTCTTTTGTAATATTGGGTAAATCCCTTACAGCTCCAGCATGTAATCGATCCGGGGGTTGGTTTTGTACTCATACTTAAGGAAATAAGATTGTTGCACGTTGTTGTTGTTTTTTGGGCAGGATATAAATCATGCTTAACTTAAGATTACCAAGAAGTCCCCATATCGTCAGCCTGACCTGGCTCAGACGCACAGGTACCGACAGGCTCATCGGTCACCACCACTACTACTACTTAAGAGGCCAACTCAGTGTGTCAGAAGGCTGGGTACACAACATCCACTCCCCGTGTGACCTGCATAACTGGTATGTGACATCAGGATGTTATGTAAGCGTCGGCAATCCAATGCCTGAGCAGGTATGCGAGGAGGGAGTCATTTAGAGCATGGTAACGGGGAGCAATCATGCAAAACGGGTCTCGCATTTTGACGAGGATAAAACAGGAGTCGGAGTCAAGGGCAAGAGGCTGACATCTTGGAAAAGGCAGTGGGGGGCAGCGGTGCAAGGGGCTGTTATTGCTGCAGTCAGACATCACCGTCCCCAGTGAACGTATGATGAATGAATCACCTTGCTATAGGTCAAGATGGCTCCTGCCGTCCCCGCGCGCGCATCGCGACCACATCAGCGTTTCCGCCCACAGTCCCCCCGACGAGAAAGCCTCTCGCTCGAGACCGATGCATCAATTTACTGGAGCAAGAAAGAATCCGCCTTTCACAGCTCATGATATTATCGCGTCGCATGGATCTGCCCCGAGACTGTTTAGAAACACCTGGGCGCAGCATCTGTTGCTTATCACTGATCAGACAACAAGTGTTGGAAACGCCGACGTGGGGCGAGAGAAGAGCGGCGGCGCACATGGGTCCGCCTTGCATTTTTTTTTTCCCCGCTCCCAACCCTGATTCCCTGAGAGAAAAAAACAACAACAGAAGAACAGAAAACAAAAGCCGCGAGGCATCCTCAGGGGAGTGCATAGCGCCAGCTAAGCAAAGTCTTTTTAATTAAAAGCTGCAGTGAGGCAGAAGGGGAGGAGAGAGAGTATTGGGGAGATGGAGGGGGGGGGGGGGCAGTGGTGTCAGAACTGGGTCATTGTCTCTTGACTGCAGTCTACCTGACACATTGATTTGTTAATCCCGTTCAACGGGCAGAAACAATGGCGAGAGGTTAATCCCGGCAAGGGGACGGCCTGTAGTCAATCTGGAGCTTCTCAGCCGCGGTGCCCACAGGATGGGCCCCCCGCAAAAAATGCTCAAAATCTTTTTTTAAAAGAGAGCAGCGGATGGAACAAGGGACCGGGCTGAAGAAGAAGAAGACAATAATCATGCAATTACTCGTTTGCAAGAGCGTGGAGGGGAAAAGGGGGGAAAAAAAAAAAGATGAAAGAGGATTTCAGGGGCCAGCTCCTCAGGAAAGCAGAGCTTGTGAATTCCCGCCCCAAGCGCAGAGTGGATGTGATCGGACAGCCGAGCCAGAGACGGAGCACAGCATGTTTTCAGCGCGCACTAAATTATGCATCACTGTCATTCCATCAAGCGCACGCGGGCAGGCAGATAAAAAGGACGCATCCGCCGAGGTGCTCCCCAGCCCGTTGTCACGGCGCTGGGAAGATAAATCTTTCGGCGAGGATATTCGTCACCAGAAGCACGACGCAGCTCAAGTCAGACGCACGACTATGTCAGTCGAGTGAGATTATCTTGATGTATGCCGCCTGTTAATGTGAATTCAGAATTCACTTCCAGTTCATCTGCCTACAGCTCCTCGAGTTCTTATTGGAGGGATCTGTGGAGACCAAGTGTAATCACACCACTCGTTCATTCAACAGCAATTAGCATTGCTACCACTTTAGCCCAAAGTAGAAGTATAGGGTGGAATCGTCCTACTGTTTCCCAACACGGCAAACATGCAAACAGTTGACAAAATGCATTCATTTTTAGAAACGATCAGAACAAAAACTACAAATGGCAAAAGGAATTTGTGTGTGCAGGAAAATCTTTAAAGGCCCAAGCTGACACGGACTCCTAATGCGAAGCAGGACAACGCACGGTTGACTTTGCCCCCTCGCACTGCTTCGTCCAGCCCCCCTTTTTTTTGCAGCTAACTAGGTGGGAGTGACGAGTCGCACTAAACTCAGCCAGCCCACAGCATTTACATGGCGCTCTGGCAACCCTGTGTGAGCGGTGCCGGAATTACTGACTGGCTGAGTTGAGTGCTCATAAAATGTGATAATGATGAACCTGGGAGTCTTCGTGTGTGTGTGTGTGTGTGTGTGCGCAGCAGCAGCGTGTCTGGGCAGGTCGCCCCCCCCCTCTTCGTTTGCCATGCACCTCTCACTTCCAGCTGCTGTCACGGGAGAAGACGGGGCTAATTGATCAGCGCAATCAAGGTGGCGGCGGGCTGGATTCCAGCCCGTGCACAGCTGGGGGAGAGGGAGGGGGGGGGGGGGGGGTACCACTGGCTCCTTCTATAAACTCAGCTGTTGCTCAGGAAGCAGCGCTCCCCCTGCGGAACAGAGCAGGGGAGAGCTCCTGTTTCCTGCCCTGTGAGCCGTGTGTTCTCACTGGACGCCCAAAAGCTTGTGGGGACTGTCCCACATAAACATTCTGTTCCCGCTGCCCCGACCCGAGCAGCCCAGTGTATTTTGTAACCGGGGGGGGGGGGGGGAGGAGAGGTAGCCGGGAAGAAGGAGAAAGGATTGTGCAAAACAAATAAATAAATGTTCTCGTCTCCAGGCCGCAGGAATTCCATTCTGGCCCGCGCCGCTCTCGCTGTAACGCTGAGAGGAGAACACAGGCTCTATCCAACCCAGATGTGCTTTCCACTGCTAACCACTGGAAAGTCCTACTCCCATAAGGCAGCAGTGCGCGCTACCTCTGCTGGCCACACCTGCCAGGGTATTAGCTTGCACATGGACCTCACATGCCCTCAGCTGTCATTAATCTGTTATGCAGGCATGCAGGAGTACGGCGGTGTACTGCGACGGTTGTTGTACTGAAGCTGTAATGCAGAAAGAGGTCGTAGAGTGACTCCTGGGGAACGTACATGGGGAAAGTGAAAGAAATATGCAGCTGTTTTTTTCTTCTTCTATTGAGCAGAAACTGCTGTGAGTAACAAAAAGCAGAAAAATCGGAAGAAAACTCCCTTTTTCATAACAGTAAACATGCAGCTTTTGAATGTGTGTGCGTGTGGGGCGGGTGTCTGTGTGTGTTCTCGGGGAGGAAAGAGGGGGGGGGGGGGGGTGCTTTTGGGTTCAGGGGTTGTGCTCCAGTCTGGGACACTTGCAGTATGGAATGCTGGGAGAGGACAAAAGCAGATGGGAGCTCTCCAGCGCTGTGAGGGAGACCTTTGGCAGACAGACTGCGCCCGCCCCCCCCGTCAGTCACCGTCTCCAGGCACAAAGGCGTGGGGCCGTCCTGCGTGACCAAAAATGAGGCGGGCACATGCTACCTTGTCTGAACCCGGCACCACTGCTGCAGCCTGAGACGGACACTAAAAGTGTGTGCGTGGGCTTCCTGAGGTTGTGAAACGCGCACTGCAGTGCACAGGAAGTGGCCATCCACATCATCTGTGCTGACAGCTGCAGGCCCCACAAGGTTGGTGAGCACAGGATCATATGATGGATAGGAAGGGGAGTCAGGAGGTATGGATGGTAATTATCGTAGCTGAAATTCCTCCAAACATCCTTTCGTATAGCTTCACGTCGTTGATCATCAAGGCATTGTGTCCCTTCTTTTGTTTTTTTAGAGGGATCAATAACGTGAGCTACGTTTATAAATGATACCACACGTGTGGAGATGAAGAAGAGCTATTCAACATCCGTGCACATTCCTCGGACATGCATTCCACGTGCAATGCACAGCAGCA